GCCTGCTGCTTACAGCTACACCGGTGGGAAACTCCAGACTTAAAGAAAGAAGCTAGTTTATGATCACGTTGTAGGATTCTAACACTGAGAGGAAGGAATCTATGGATCACTGTGGAGCTGTGGGAGTGGACTACGTCACACTGCAGCTGAACCAGACTTCAGCGGATTGTGGGCGGCTGTAGCTCAGGTGGTGGAGCAGGTCGTCCTCTGATCACAAGGCTGGTGGTTTAACCCCCTCTACAGCTGAAGTGTCCTTGGGCAAGACACTGAATCTGAAGTTGTTCCCAATGGCAGGCGAGCGCCTTGCATGGCAGCTCTGTGGTGTATGAATGGCTGAATGAGAAAACACAAGTGCAGACCATTTGCCGTTTGTATTAAATATGTGACTACCACCCAAAGTTCAGTGTAGTCTCGCTTAGCCGGCTCCCGTGCAGAATGGTCCGACTGCACTTCACCATCAGTCTGCAAACGCTCCAGATTGTCTTTATAACAATTAGAGTTGTTGGTGAAGCTTAGTCCTGAATGCAGTGACGACTACATTACTGCAGGATCCAAACCTTTAGCAGCCTTCTCAACGCGTAGGCTGTTGTTTGTGGATGTAAAGTCGACTTTAAAACACCCAGATAGTGTGAGGAGATTAAAACAAAACCACAATGAGATGAACAAACTTCTACCCAAAGTTTACCTCTTAACACACTAATTTGGGCCTGAACTCATCTGAAGCACCAGACATGTGCCTGGAGCCTCCTGACAGATGAGAGCAGATAGAGCGTCCTGTTAACCGCCGGCCGGACGTCTGTCTTTGCTTCCACCGACTGATTTGGTGTCACAGCGTCAGCATGTGCACCGACTCGCCGCCTCCTAACGGCCTTTTTCTGATGCCCATTTGTTCGCTCTTCTCCTCGTCTTCCCGCTCAGCTGTCGCTCTGCAGTCAGAGGTCAACGGCTCGGAGCCAGGTGCATGCTGGGACAGCTGCCGCCGGATTTACGCCCGCCGTCGCCAGCTGCAGATGTGGCCTTTTAGCGCTGGCCAAGTTTCAAACACGTAGCAGCGCGAAGCTTGTTAGATGAAACTGAATAACCCGTAACACCAGCTTCATCCATCCATCCTGACTTTATTTACGTTTAAAGACAGTTCAGGCTTCTGTTGGAGAAGCAGGGAAGTTAAAGGAGATGACAGACTGTCAAAATAAAAGCTTTTAACTGTATTTTTTAAAAACAATTTGCTGTTATTTAAAAAAAGTCCTTGGTTTGCCAAAAAAAAAAAAAACCAAGGTAAAAACAACGAAAAAGAAAATAACTTCACAAGGATTAAAAAAAAAAAAAAAAAAAATAATAATTTAAAAAAAATGACCTTTTCTTTCTTTAAAAAAAAAAATAGAATCGTGTAACTTAAGGATGTTAAAAGGATTTTTAAAATGTCACTGATTTATTTACAGATGTTCCTTATGTTAAACTACAGCTAACACCTCTTCCTTCCTGCTTTTATTGTATTTAAATATGCTGAAATTTGTCGGTATTGGAAAGAAAAATGATGTATTTTAAGTATCTAAAAATAATGAACAGTAGTAAAACTGAAAAGCTCTTTTGACTGGTGTTTTAGAGATTTTCTCTGGTTTGTTAAATTACAGATAATATTTAATAAAAAATTAATAGAAAAATACACTAATTGTACCATAGTTAAATCAGAAGCACATTATTTTAAAAATATTTGTGATTATTTACACAAAAAATATGTGCGGTTATTTGAAAGAAAAATGATGTATTTAAAAGATTTTAAAATCCTTAATATACGTGTTCTCACTGTCATTTTACAGATTTTTTACTGTTTTATTTATTGACTGATTTTACTGTATTTAAATCAACAAAAAAAATATTATAATTGTACAAATATTTGCAGTTATTTGAAAAAAATTATTAATATTAAGGATTTCAAAATGGTCAGTAATTCACTTATTTAATGGTTATTGAACAGATGTTTCATGTTTTGTTAGATTCCAAATAATATTGAATAAAATTACAGAAAATTACACAAGTTTTACTTTTTTTAAAATTGATGCTCGCTGTTATTTTTCCACATTTTGTTTGTTTGTTTGTTTTTTTCTGGGCTTTTAACTCTATAGAAGACTCTGTGTGGATGCTCTCTTCAAACAGATGCAGAACTCTCAGCCGTGGAAGCTCCTGTGGTGGAGTCCAGTCCTCAGAAACACGACACTTCTTAAACATTCTGGATATTCGAGGTAGACGTATTTCACTCCTCAGGGACTGACGGCTGCAAACTGCACCTCTCTCAGCACCTGTTTTCCCAAAACTACCCGTCCACGTCGATTAAAGAACAATAACAGATGTGAATATCTTGTATTTTTGTGCACAGCAGGCGGGTTTCACACCTATTTTAAGCGCAGGAAGGAAGGTAGGTGACAGAACCTCCTCCTGTGATTATCTGCTCAGGAGACGGCGGCTAAAAATACGTCTGGTGTGAAGCACAGAGACGAGGGAGACACAGACCAGATGCACGGTGGCTTTGCTGGTATGTCAGGGACACTTCAGCTGAAGCCGGTGGACTAAAGATAACCCCCACTGTGTCCTTACTATCAAATAAATAAGATGTTTCGCAACCGGTGTCAGTCCTCTGATCGGCCCCGAGCTCAGATATCAAGCAACAAACTGAACTGCATGGAAGAGAATCAGGGCCCTTTGGTTTCTGCTGCTAAAATGAAATTAAACAAATCTTAGTTTTTGTTGCAAAAACAAATGCACCACTGAAAGAATTAGTCATTTAACTGACTCCTGCACATCGTCTAAAATCCATTTTGTTGCTCGACCTTCACAGTGCAAAAACCCGGCGTCGAATCATTGCAATTAAACGTTTTGGTTTTACAAGCTGGTTTGCAAGAATCTAGAACTTTTTCAGGTCCATATTCATCTCTTATGCACCTGTCTGGTGAAATAAATGTGCAAAAAGTTAATTAACAAAAGGAAAATCTGATGTTATCGCTGTTGATGATGTGTATTTATTACCCAGGAATGCTAGAAGAGCCTCGGTTTAAGCTTCTGAATGTGAAATATTTGCTTGTTTTCATGAGTGACGGTTGACTGATTCCCTTTAGATTCTTGGTTTTTGATGAACTTGTTGAAGAATCAACCTGTGCGTGAAGTAAAGACGTTTGTTGCAGCCATTTGGAAGCAGATTTTTAACACTTGAGTCTCTTCAGATAAAGACTCGGATCTTGCTTCTTATCTGTTTTACTGTTCATCTGCCTGCAGCACTTGCTTCTTAAAATCTTTTATCCAACTCTAAATGACAGTGTTTACCGTTCTGCACCAAAGTCAGATTCCAAAACCAGCTTGGCAATAAATTCAGATTCTGAAAAGCTCCCAGCTGCCTTTAATGACGCCAACACTTGTGTGGAGCTGCAGAGCCAACTGCGGGAGGGTTTACCTGGACTATGCTGGGGTAGCATGTGGTAGTCTGTGGGTAGACGGGGAGTCCGTAGGGCTGGAGGATCACAGTGGGTGAGGAGAGCATCGCCCACAAACCGGAGGACGGAGGGAGGAGAAGGAGAAGGAGATCTGGGGAAAAGGAAGGACGCCCACAGCAGAGCAGGCAACCACACGGCAAGAAAAAAGAATAAAAATCCCCAAAAGCTGGAGGAAAGTGGAGGTCCGAGAGGGTGAGGGGGAGGAAGGGTGAGACTCTGCTTCACCTCACAGGTGAGTCAAACCCCGAGAAACTCCACAGGACAACGATTCCCGGTCCGGGAAAGACAGGATATGGAGCAGTGAAAGAGAAAGCAGCACACTGAGTCCACCGGCCGACGGAGCAGCCTGACGGACAGAAACACATGCTGAGGCTCCCGTTTCAGAGTTTTATAAATAGTCCGTCATGTCCTTCTCCCAGAGTTTACCACCTTTACTCCCTCACGCTCGCACTCTGGAACACCACATTTCTCACCACGTATCTGTTGAACAGTAGAGTCTGCTCAGGCAAAGTCAAGAGCAGAACTTTTACCCGTTTATGTTCAATAAAGTTCAATATTGAACCGTCTGCAGACACATGAAGCTGAAACATGATACAGAGACGCAGGAGCACAAACTCACATGATGTACTTTTGAACTTTTTGTGTTTTTCAGCTGTTGTTTTCTGTTTGACCAGCAGAGGGAGACAAAACCAACAGATTCACTTCCTTTCAGGTGATGAGAGGCATGATGGGAAAAGTAGGCTGGGCCCAAAATCCCATAACAAGCATTAATTTCCTCTGATGGACAGTTTATAGGGATCACTGAAAATCCATAAAGTAGAAACTCAAAGCAACCAAAGTCAATCCAGCTGTGATCAGTGAAACTAAACTGATTCCAGCTGTGGTTTCCATCAGTCTGACTGCATGAACGTGGTTCTACAATGAGCTGAGAACAGCAGAACCTTCTCAGTTCTGGACCTCTGGACTGTGTCTATGTCTGCATCATGGCTCCACATGGAGAAGACCTGAACAGAGGAGGAGAAACATCTGACTGAGAGACTGGACAAAGATGGAAAAGGATCCAGAAGATCAGTGAGCAGCTAGAACCCAGTGCAGCCCAGTGTGAGCAGGAACCAGGAGGTCCAGAAGGAGCCACAGCAGCACTGATCAGGGCTGCAGTGGTCGTCCTCCTACAATGACTCCACGGACAGTCAACCGGTGTTGTAGTCGAGACCATCGAAACCGAGACATGGCCGAGACCACAGTGTATTGAGACAAGACCAAGACTTTGAGGGCTCGAGACCGAGTCAAGACCGAGACCATACCAAATGTAACTTAACCATTTTATTCAACACTTATTCAATGTAGGTTTAAGGCAAGTGCAAGGTTTCCTGTTATACTCTTTTCTGCAACTTCAAACATTCAGTATGGAACGTATCAAACAAAAAGTCAATACTTGCACCTTCATTTTTATCTTAAATATTTAATGACCACACCAGTTAATTTTCTTACTTTAACACTGGCATTACAATCATTTTCAGAAAGAGGATAGGTGTGCATTTTTTTCTTTTAAGGACACCCAGTGTGGGAAAGATTGTGTGATTGAACAAGCCGTAGAAGAGGGAACTCACAGCGCTCAAAATTGTGTTGTACATATATTTAGTTTAATTTATATTGAAGTTACACATTTATTCTGCAATTGTGTGTTTTAATTGTAAAAATTGGCACTAAAATTAAGTGTGACCATTGCAAGGCCAGGTACGTGGACGGGGTGCATAATTTGAGCTCGACCCTCTGCTGTCACATCAGGAGCTCTCTCATCCAGGTGAGGGAGTGGTACCGTGGTATGTACCACTGTGTCAGAGCTGACATTAGCTAGCATTGATGTAGCATAAACAAAGCTTCATGTGGCCTGTCTCGTTATTGTTCATAGAAGCGCAAGCACAACTTAAAATAGTCCCGCATGCCTTTTCCCTATACGGTTGTGATTCGATAATCTGACCCTTAAGATAAGTCCAACTGACACTTCTGTTTATTGCACTTTTTTTTTTTGTACGTTTCCAGCTGTTGCTTTCTTTCAGACCAGCAGAGGGCGACCAACCCAGCGGGTCCACTTCCGCCCCGGGTTGAGCGGCATCATGGGATTTGTAGTGTGAGCGCCGGCGGTATAAATCGATGCTAACTTCCTTTAACTTCCTCTTTACTACGCGAGCCTGAGCGAGACAGGTACGGTCTGCGGCCTCATGGTCAATCACAACACAAACTCACTATACTCAGGCATTTACTGTTACAGATTTTGATGCGACATATGATTGAACTTAAGTATTTTGTATTTTTAATCACCTGCGAGTCATTTTGTTGCTGATTTCAAAGAGAAATCATGATTCGGCTAAGCTAACGTTAGCTTCACACTGAACAACGTGGTGCGCGGCCTGCTCGTAAGGCTGCGAAATACACAGTTTCTAATGGTTAAAAGCACATTTAAGGATTTTTTTTAAAGGAGTAGCGATGTATTCATTTAATAATGTTAAACACTTAATTACTTGAGTGTCCGTGAACCTCACTAGTTGTATGCTGACTGTACATATGCTAGTTGCGGTCGTTGGGAGCGCTAGCTTGTTGAAGATCTGCAGTAAAGTTCTTGTGTGATACGTTTTGGAATAAGTCGTAGAAGTTAACGAGACAGATGCATATAGTTTTTATTCCGTTTAATCGAGTTTATACTTGCAGCTCTGGATTTTAGTGAAGACACCACCATCTCAAAAAATTAGAAACAGAAGTAGCCCGTGTTAATGCTGAACGATATGCTGATAAATACAGTCCGATTACAATTATTTTGACAGATGCTGTGATTTCGTAGAGTTAAATTGCAGTAGCCTCTTGGAAAAACATTATTTTCCACTCAAGAAAATGTGTTCCGCTGCTATCTATACCAATCAAGCAGGTTCCCTTTACTGGAAAATGTTTAGGTTGGAGCATCTCTTGTGTTTTAATGTTTTATGTTGCTCCTGCAGTTGGGATTTTGCATTTGTCTGTATTGCAATTTTGATCCAGTGTTTTGCCCTACTGTCTATGTAAGAAATTGTAAATTGGAATAAGTTTATGATGTGTAAAGGAAACTTTTGTGGTGATATTTTCTGTATTAAGGCTCAGAAATCACACGTGTAATTTGATTTTTGTTAAGATTTTATACACACAACTTAATTTTCTTATGAATAGAAGTTGAAGGAAAACTCAGGATGTAAATTGCTTCATAGAAGTGGTGTTAGGTTGGAATGAGTTCACAAATGCCACAGTTAACTAAAGCACAACTCTGATTAAAGCTAACGTTTTGTCTTGTTGTGTTGATTTGCAGGCACTTTAAGCCGCCATGCCCGTTGCCAGGAGTTGGGTTTGTCGTAAGACATATGTCACCCCCCGCCGTCCCTTCGAGAAGTCCCGTCTCGACCAGGAGTTGAAACTTATTGGTGAGTTGTGATTTAATTAACGTAATCACTATGCAACACAAACGCCTCACCTATAGGGGATTTCATTTCACCTCGTGTTGTATTTTATTGGACTATTGCACTAACTGTTGTTGTTTGTTGTTTCCAGGTGAGTATGGACTGAGGAACAAGCGTGAGGTGTGGAGGGTCAAGTTCACTTTGGCAAAGATCCGTAAAGCTGCCAGAGAGCTGCTCACTCTGGACGAGAAGGACCCCAAGCGTCTGTTTGAAGGTACGTTAAACACAGTAACTGAGCTTGTGTTGGCCGATGATTTAATTATAAACTGTCAGACTTCAATGTGGTGTCACGAATTCCTCGTCAATGAGGCCAATACTCCCGCTTTACTCAAACATCCATGTGGACTATTGGTGTGTTTGGGGTTGTAAATCGCTCCTGTGTGCTTCTCCAGGTAACGCTTTGCTCAGGCGTCTGGTGAGGATCGGTGTGCTGGATGAGGGTAAGATGAAGCTCGATTACATCCTGGGTCTGAAGGTTGAAGACTTCTTGGAGAGGAGGCTGCAGACACAGGTCTTCAAGCTCGGACTCGCCAAGAGCATCCACCACGCCCGCGTCCTGATCCGCCAGAGGCACATCCGGTAAGACCTGTGGAAAACGAGCATTCATCAAACAAGGTGATGAGTGTGTGGAGGGACTGTGAAACTGTCGCTTCTTCCTCTTCCATCAGAGGATCACCAACCTGTAATACTCTGCGTTGAGATCAGTTAAACATTTCAACAAGGTCAATTCGGTATCAAAACCGTATACCTTGTCGGTAGACATTGCCCAGAGCCAATCCTGCTGCCGAGGGCTCAGACGGCGCCGCTGGTGCTGTGGCTGTCAGGTAAGGTGTGTTGGATTGCACCTCGGGCAATAGTGGTGTCACTACACCTCATGTCACTGATGTAGGAAATACTGAGGCTGATGATTTAAGATTCATGTTCAGATTGACTGTGGTGTCACGAATTCCTCGTCAATGAAGCCTGCAGTAAATTAGTCTACATTTTAACCCTCTGAACTCCAAACAGTTTGTGCTCGTCTCATTTTTCACTGCAATTCAAAGTCCTGCATCTCTGTGGAAACAAAAACCATGAAGGAGCAGAGAACTCAGAACCCTCTTCAGTGCAAAATTTATTCATGTCCAACATTTTGCTGAATGCTCACAGGTGTTACCAGTACTCACATTATTCTTGGTTTCCAAACTAGTCTCCTTTCTACTCTGTGAAAACACTTTGAGCCATTTTGGTGACTGTTGGTCACATCTGAGTGTTGACTAGTTCCTTGGTTGTGCAGAGGAGTTCAGAACATGGTTCAAGCAAACGCTTACGTTTTGACAAATTTTTAAACGAGACGTGCAGAACACAATGATTTTGATGAAATTTACCAAATTTAAGGTAATATTTGGTCATTTTGTGGAAGTTGAAGCTCCAACTATTTCTGCAGTGTTCGGTGAAATTATGCTTTCATTCTGTCGGTGCATTTACACACTTAAAAAAAAAGTAAGAAATGTGCAAACATAGAAATACAGTAAAAGCCGTATGTTCAAGTGTAACCTATAAAACCGTGGTGGAGCTTATTTGATATTTTAACAACTTCTAAAACATGCATTTTAAACCTGCAGGTTCGGGGTTCAGAGTGTTAAAGTAGCTCAGATTTGCTGAATTTCGTTCACCTCTTGTCAGCGTGTGAAAGACATTCGGCCATAAATGCTAAAATCCGTGCTTGTCGTTTGTCTCTGCAGTGTGCGTAAGCAGGTGGTGAACATCCCGTCCTTCGTGGTTCGCCTGGACAGCCAGAAGCACATCGACTTCTCCCTGAGGTCTCCGTACGGCGGCGGACGCCCAGGACGCGTCAAGAGAAAGAACGCCAAGAAGGGCCAGGGCGGCGCCGGAGGAGCCGACGACGAGGAGGAAGATTAAGAAGGAGCTCATGCAGGGGGTGTTTTGATGCTTCTTGTTCTGTCAAAAGTCTAAATAAAAATGTTTGGTCTGACCACAGAGCTGAGTTGTTTCTGTTTTTTTTCCCTACCAGACTGGTTCCCATCAAGTTTGTTTTATTTGTGTGCTACATTTAGCATATTGAGCTCATGTCCGTCTTCCTGCAGCCTTTTGAGATGTTTGTGTGGAACTCTGTACTTTTTCATGAAGCTCTCCATTGTGTCTGCTGGACCTTAAAAACAGCTGGATATGACATCGTAGCTTTTAAACGTTCTCAGTGATGGATCCTAACAGCAGCTCAGCATCCGATGTTTTCAGTTTATGTTGTATTATTTTAAAACATTGTTGAATTTGGCAGCAGCAGTGGAAATGAGGTAGAAGCTGCATTCCCTTAAAAATTTGAATTCAGAGGTATTCATTTGAATGACATTTTCATACACAAACATGAAATACTAGAAATTCATCACTAACGACTCACACGCACTTTACGTAATTTACAGTAAAAAAAAAAACAAAGAAACCTTTGAGAAAAGAAAAATTCACAAAAAAATATAAATCAGTAAAGATTTACATTTCGCATTGATACAATTACTTTTGGGCTTAACTGTGTGAGCACAGAATGGTACGATCTGCACCCCTGCAGTCGGAATGGTTCCGCCCCGCTGTGCGTCATTGCGTCAACCCGGAAGTTGTGAAGCAGCGGTGTGTGTGAATGGGTAGTTAGCATAGACTAGTCGGCGGTGGTGAAACTGTGCGGGCTTTACCGGGGACACGAGTCGTTTAACGTGTGTTTTAACGGGATATACATGTAAGTATGGATGCTTGCCAGTGTACCGGTCGGCAGTTAGTTCGGTGCTAACGTTAGCATAGCTAATAGCGGTAACTATGACTGTTCGCTAGCGTCACTGCGTAAAGCTTGTCACAGACGAGCAAACTGGACGAGAGTGAAGTCATTACTGCTATTAGCCATATTGTAGTAGTTTATGAGCTACTACATACTTGAACGTGATGCCGTTTTTACCTGTGAGCTGCAGCAGCGGTGTGTTACAAGGTGTTCTTGCGCACACCTCACCGGAAGTGTCCTTATTTGGGTGCAGTATTTGTTTCTGAGGCGGTGTTGTGAAATTCCATCACAGAGGTTTGATCATAGCTGTTGCACGATGTAAGCAAAAGTGCAGATACCACCCTGGGGAAGCATCTCATTACAGGTGAAAGCATGTAAATCTAATCAGACGAGTGTACTTTTTAATACTGTGCAGTATTAAAAGTGAAAGTTATGAGGAAGCAGCAGTGGTTGTTGGCACACTTTGTCCTCTCAGTCGTATTTAACTGGTGTAACGTCGTGGTAGCATGTTCTAACATGCAGCAAAGGAACAAATAAAGCCTCAGATATTTAAAGCAATTTATTGTGCATGAATGTCTTCTAAAATTAGGTGATTGAAGCCACGTTGTGCATTTGGTTGGTGCAATGTTAAAATGCAGAAGTTGTGACTGATGCAGGATTGTTTAGGAGCGATGTAGATTTGTTTGGCATGTGGCTGCAAAAACACATCCACAAACGGGTCAGAAATTATAGGGGAAATTGAACATATGGAAAAAAAACAATGAGCAGTATAGAATAAACAGTAGTTGAACCTATAAACTTTATGTAGGATAAATATTTGAAATGTTGATTGTTTCTCTTCTAAAACTGCACCGTGGCTCAGCTCGTCTGTACACATTTCTGGTTAGATTTACTCAACAACGCAATTCACCAGCCTTCACTCTTCTAATGCAACTCCAGAAAAGGCAATATTACATCCACTTTGCATCAGCATGTGAGCTTGCACTTGCAGCAACCTGACAGGATTGAATTAGTACAACTGTAATTATTATTGCAGGATATTAGAGTAGATTATGTTGCATGTGTTCCTGTTGTGTGTTGTTTCGTCTGTCACTGGTGTTTCTGCGTCAGATAGTTCGGAGCTGATCTGTGTTTCTGTTTCTGTGTCGGCAGAGCGATGTCTCCGGATGAGCTGGTGTATCTGGGAGTCCTCTTCGCCTCCATCCCTGTTGGATTCCTCTTCCGTTACCTCAGTGAGTATTTCAGTCGGGTTCAAGTTCAGGTTAAGGACGTGTTTAACTCCTATTCTTTGACTCCTATTCTGTGGAGGGATGAAGAAAGCATTCTTTCAAGAATCAGGGATGTTTAATCTGCTGCTTAGGGAGACAGTGAGTGATTGTGATTGGGTTCTCAGGTTCAGTTTAATCTTATGTTAAGGCTGTGGTCGGTCTTTTCTTTTGTCTTGATTGAACATCAAACCGCTCTGTGCTAAGAACAGTCCACTCGACTTCACTTGACTTTTTATTCGTTAAAAAAAAAATCTATTTTTTTTGTGAGCAGCATAAAAAGACAGCATCTGGATTTTTGTCATATAATCTTGGAATGCTTGATGATAGTTAAACTGAATCTTTCTCCAAGCAGCTTGTCTGACAGCGATATCAATCAGACTGATGAGGGTCTGTGGTTTTTGCAGCTTTCCTTCCTGACGTTGTTTTGTTTTTAGCTCCTTCTTGTGAGAAACATATAAAGTTGTTCACAGCTTTCTATATGATATGAGAATCTGTATGTTTGGCACGTTAAATTTGGCTTTTGTGTTAGTTTTTTACATGCTTACAGACCATTTAGTCGTTCAGTTTTACACGTCAAAAGAATGCATTTGAGAAACATGTTCATTTAATAGAATACACAGTTGCAATCATAGTCAGATGTACCTGCAGTGGTGCATCCAGCTGTTAGTTTTGTTCATCCGTTATTACTTTGATTAAATGAAAGGAATAACTGAATGACCCCTGCACATCGTGTCAACATGTGAACACAGAAATGTCAATAAGCTGGTTGTATTCGAGCTGCACTGGTCCTCGTTAACAGAGTCAGTAAACCCAAAGCATATGACAAGTGTCTCAGATGTTTGGGTTTTTACTGACTGGAATTAAAATGTTGAAACTATTTGTGACCAACAATGAATTTCCTTTCAGTTAAAAACTCGCTGGTCCACACAAACTTCAAGCCTCCGTGCAGCCTTCTTCTGTCAGAGCTCAGCGACATGTGGAACAGATTTAGCACATTTTCATGCTGTGTCAGGTGCTTTTTTTTGTATGGCTGTGGGTGGATTAACGGTAATTTCTCCGTCACCTCAGGTCCGCCCGTGAAGCAGGGAGCAGCTCTTCTGCTGGGCCTCAGCATCATCGTCGCCACCTGTCACATCCACACGCTCCACTCCCTGGTGACGGTGATCGGGACATGGATTATTATAAAGAGCAGCTGGCGGTGAGGGATAAACGGCTTCTGAAACTTAATTCACATATGCACGGTGGGCGCAAAGGTCAGGAAGGCAAGTCTGCAGCGTTCAGTTGTTGATAAATCTGTCAGGTTTTTTCTCCGTTACAACCATCGATGAGTCTGAATTTATGAAAAGTCAAAAAAGATCTTAAAGATGGTTGCTTGAAATTGCGTATTTTTGCATCCAAGTTACCATCACATCCTACAAAGACAGGAAATAAATCCTCGCATTGGACAAACTTCATGAACTGAGAGTTTTTTTATTTATTTTTGCTCAGTAACGAGTGAAAACACTTTTCATTGTTTCTAGCTGCAGAATAATCTCTCGACAGCTTTAGTAGCAGAAGCTTAAGCTCCATTAGTGCAAAACACCGACCGTAAATGTGCAGACGTGACTCTGACCAGACTGGGAGAGTACCAGAATACACAGAGCAGCGTTATGCATTCAGGACACAAAACAGGTTTGCTGAAGTCCATTAAAGTTACAGAATACATTATGTAATCACATTTGGTTAAAAATAGGATTTATTCGCGGGGTTTTAATTTCAAAATACTACAAAATAAGGATGTACTACCAGGGCTCCAGACTGACTGTTTCACTGGCAGCCTCCCACCTTGGCCCAGGTGACACTCCTCACATCTTATTGACAGACGCCACATTTACAGACGCTCCCTAAACGCCTCACGGTGTCGGCTGTGGTAGACGCTGTCAGGAGGCTGCAGGGCTCTCAGACAGGTGTGTGAGAAAAGAGTGAAATGTGGTCATCTCATGTCGAACCGAGTCATTTCATCCACATGAAGGTGTCTCAGCGTTTCACAAGCAGAGCACATTTGAAGGCAGGTTCACCTGGACAGGTAACCAGTCTATCACAGGGCTACACTTAGAGACAGACAACCAAGCACACTCACATTCACACCTACGGACAATTTACAATCACCAATTAACCTCAGCATGTTTCTGGACTGTGGGAGGAAGCCGGAGAACCCGGAGAGAACCCACGCTGCACGGGGAGAACATGGAGACTCCACGCAGGAAGATCCCGGGTGTCCTCACCGGGACGTGAACCAGCGACCTTCTAGCTGTGAGGCCACGGTGCTAACCGCCGATCCCACCTTGCATGACTGATTGATTGAATACTGAGGTTATCTGGTGATTCTAAATTGTCCGTAGGTGTGAATGTGGTTGTCTGTCTCAGCTGTCAGGTTACCTGTCCAGGTGAACATGCCTTCGCCCTCAGTCAGCTGGGATAGACTGAAGCCCCCACAACCGTACAGAGGATTAAACGGTGTGTAGATGATGGATGGATGGTGTGTCTGAGTCAGACCTCTAGCTCTGCTCCAGCCGCCTCCTCTTTTCTCATTTTGTTTTTAAAATAGTCAGCTACAGACACTTTTGTCTTCTGAACTCAGAACAACTACACAGCCTGTTTCACACATCAGACGGAGCTATGGAGACATAAAAGGACTACTTTCAAAAGTCAAAGTCGTCTTTGTTGTCAGTTCTGCCTACAGGACATAGACTTGATTGAAAAGCTGTTTCTGTCAAATCCTGTTGCAAACATGCAGGGCAAGAAGAAGGCGCAGAGAAATGAGCAAAGCAATCAGAAAGAAGAAGAAGAAATAAACTAGAACAATAAAACTAACACCCATCAGTAACAGCAGCTGTGTGTGTGTGTGTGTGTGTGTGTGTGTGTGTTGGCTAGTGCAGTAAAACGCTGCCTGGCTGGTGGCTCGTAGATATTTACCGATGGCAACTCGATCACGATGGTTGATGCAGTAGCTGCCTGCTCAGCTGTACTCTCTCAAAAGAAGGTCGCATATGAGACCACTTTAGTTGCAGACTGCTCTCCTGGTGTTTGTAATCAGATTACATTACTTCAGCATTGTGATACCTGGATGAGATCAATGACTAGATTGTTCAGTTGAATCTTATTTTATGGGAGCACATTTGAAAGCGACTCTGCTCATAACATGTCGTCTCTACCAGTCATGCACCGGCGCTGAGTCTCAGCTGGACCTTCCTCTACCTCCTCTTCTTCCGTCTGGTCACGTGGTTTGGTCTGCCACAGCCGACACCTTTTTCCAACGCCGTGCAGCTAATCCTCACGCTGAAGGTACGAAAACCGAACAACAACAACAAACCGTGCAGCAGAGAAATCCTCGGACAGACGTGTCTTCACTGTTGTGTGTCGCTTCAGATGGTGAGTCTGGCCAACGAGGTGAAGAGCTTCCACGTGGAGAAGAAAAAAGAAGTGAGCTCTTTCGCCAAATCTCCCGTCATCGGCGGCCTGTCTGAGGAGCCGTCGCTCTACGACATCCTGTCCTATAGTTACTGTTATGTGGGTATTATGACCGGTGAGTGGAGAACATCTGACATTTCAGTCCGTGGAACAGAGTGAAGTATTTGTGTGTCAGCTGTTTACGTCCATGTGTTGTTGATGTTTATTTGCTTTTGCATGAATTTTAACTGTTGTCTCTCTTTGTCTCACTCTCTGCTTCTTGTCCAACATTGTGAGTTCATACGGTTTTCAGTATTACTTCTGTTTATTCCAGTAGTCACATAGCTCTGCTCTCTTTCTGTTTCCCACCACACCGTCCTCCAACGTTCCCTCTCGTATCTCACATTATCCTGATTGTCTGTTTTTACCCGCTGCTTCCTCTTCACTGCTGTTCCTCTGTCTCGTCCCTCCGTCCACCCGAAGGCCCGTTCTTCCGTTTCCAAACCTACGTCGACTGGTTGAAGCAGCCGAAGCCGCTGGAGCTGCCCGGCTGGACTCCGTGTCTGCAGCGGCTGAAGCTGGTTCCCGTCTACGGCGCTCTGTTCCTGGCTGTCAACTCGGTGTTTCCGCTGAGCTTCGTCCGCACAGACGAGTTCCTGGATCGTAACTTCTTCTTCAGGTGCTGTTGTGGCGCTTCACTGCCCCGACAATAGGTCTCATTTTTCATCACTGTGGCCCATTTTTTACTGCGATGTAAAGTCCAGCAGCTCTGTGGAAACAGAACAAGCAGGAGAATGAGAGAGGACTCAGAGACGTCAGCTAGAATGGTGGAAGTCATAAAAAAGAAAAAGTTGAATAGTTGTTTTACAAAAATCTTAAAAACTGGAACAATATTTTTCAGTGTCCACAGTTTTTACCAACACTAGAAAAATGTCGTCTCCTGATCCTGGAGATGTTGAACTATCTCCAGGTTTCCAGACTTTCCGTCTCTGCTCTGCTCATCAGCTATAGAAAGATGTTCCACCTGCAGATACAGTGAAAACAAAGCATAGATCACATTTACAGAGAGGTGCTGGAACACCGCTGTGGTTTAGGAAGCTAAAGAATATTCCTGTCAGGAGTAACGGAGGCCTGAACATGTTTGTATGTCGGTTGTTTGGTCAGATAGAGATGAATAAGATGAATAATCTGCTCTGGTTCGTCTCCACCGCAGGTTCTTCTACATGGTCGCCGTGTTCTTCGTGTTCAGGATGCGTTTCTACGCTGCCTGGTGTGGAGCCGAGGCCGGATGCATCAGCGCAGGTCTGGGCTGCTACCCAGAAAAGGCTCTGGCCAAACCTGGAGGAGGCCCCACCGTCAACTACAGGTACGTCAATAACGAGCACATAGAGAGACGGATTCAGGAATAATCAGAGTAATCTGTTAACTTACTCATTGGACTACAGAGAGGTGAAGGAGGAGAAATAGAGTTAAACATTGTAAAGGATTGACATCGTAAATCAACACAGACACCAGATGAGATAATAAAAGAACCAAAATACTGGATACAAGAAAGGAAAAAGAAAGAGGGTAAAACAAGAAAATGGAGGATAAAACCATAAAGATAAGTGTAATAATAGTGTAATAGTAATTAAATTAAATAAGTAAATGAAGGATCAACGAGCATGAAGTGAACAAAGTTTGTAAAAAGTTTGCATCAATACAAGTCCTATTCTTTGTTTTCTTCCTTCCAGTCTGGATCCGTCCGCTGAAGAGAGCTACGACTTCAGAACCATCCAGAACATCGACTGCTACAACACCGACTTCTGTGTGAAGGTCCGACACGGCATGCGTTACTGGAACATGACGGTGCAGTGGTGGCTGCACCACTACATCTACCCCAATGCCCCCTTCAGGGCCTACACACTCAGGTTTGTGCTGCAGCGTCACCGCAATGACCAAAACAACATCCGTAGCAGATGGCACCTCCATTTTCTTCCAATGTTTGTAACATAAAACGTACGCAAAGAGGCAAAATGAGACGAAAAAAATGAGACTCAAAATGTCGACGACGAGACAAAACAACCAAAAACAAAAACAACTCAAAGAGATACAAAACGACACGATGTGGGGAAAAGAAAACGACAGAAAGGAGACACAAAATTAACCACAAAGAGACAAAACTGTCCCAAAAAAACATGAAAAAGTCATATGATTCTGCCCGCTGCCATTTGTTGCAGGAAGTAACCACATATAGATCCTTGCCCGATAAAGGGTTTAAACTCTTGTTGTCTGCACCCAAACCCTCCAGGTCCTGCCTCAGTTTCCTCAGACGACAGAAACCTCGTTGTGTCTGTCAGACCTGAACTCTCCGTTCTGTTTTTCCCAGAGCCGGCTGGACCATGTTCATCAGCGCCTACTGGCACGGCCTTCACGCCGGGTACTACCTCTCCTTCCTCACCATCCCACTGTGCATCGCGGCGGAGTCGGCCATGGAGGCGTCCGTCCGAGCCAGACTGGGCCCCCGTGGGCAGAACGTGTTCGACTGGGTGCACTGGTTCCTGAAGATGAGGGCCTACGACTACATGTGCATGGGCTTCGTGCTGCTCAAGGCCTCCGACACCGTGAGCTACTGGACGTCCATCTACTTCGTCATGCACGTCATCGCTGTCTGCTGCATCGTGGTGGGCCGGCTCCTGAAGGGAGGGAAGAGCAGGAGAGGAAAGAGGGAGCAGAACGCAGAGGCAGAGAAGACTGGAGAGAAGACGGACTGAACGAAGAGTCATCTTTCTACCGACAAGCATCACACAGGTCCAAGACAATTTCCAGGGAGAGACTTGATGTCAGTAATGATTCCATTAAACCAGTGGAGGTGTCTGTGAGGGAGGATTTCTAAGCTCCATGAATGTTCTTTTTGTAGTGGCTCCTCTCAGCTGAGCGTCGTGTTTATTTAGTCTCAGAACAACGTGAAAACAGGCGTGATGGAGCAGAAAACCGTCCGGCGAGGCAGCGTTTCTGCAGGAATCCATCAGGAGGCCGACTTCTGAGTCTGTGGAGGTGGAACACTGGCTGATAACTCCTCCTCCTAGTTGATTATGTGAGTCATGCTGATTAATTATTGTTAAGCTCCACGGCTGGTCTAAGTTAAAGTGAAAGCTTCTAATTAATGTGTAAACCACAGAGAGAAAATAACACAGAATAGATGTCAGTATGGACTCAAACATGCTGATTGAGACTAAAGTAAGTACGTTAAGTTTAAATTCAAAGTACTGTAGTTTCCACCACTCTATACGTCTGCTTTACTGCAATTTAGAGGCAAACAGTCTCATTTTTACTCCACTGCATTAAGATTTTTTGCATATTCAGATTATTAATACAAAATGTAATCGTCAGATAAACGTGTTATTGTGATGCTTTATCGTTCAAACTAGCAGCAGTAAACATTAAAATCAGCTTCAACTGCAGCAGCGCCACAGTGATGAACACGTTAACAGGCCAACGGGTAGAATTCAGTTATATCACAAACATCCTGCTGCAGACTGAGCACTTTATTCTGATGCTTTTGCACCTTTATCCAAGTAAAAGGAGTATTTCTACTCTGTTCTAGTGGTACTTTTACTTAAAGATCAGAGTACTTTTTCCACTTCTGTCAGAGGTTTGAAAGTGACCAATCAGAGGAGAAGTTTTCAGCCAACGTCCCGCCTCCACAGACTCCACTTTGAGGGGGATGGTTTTAACTCGCATCACGTGCACGCTCCTGGTTGTCACGTGCACGAGTCTTGAGACTGACTAAACGTCGAGGTGATTCTGATTGTATTTCAAGACGCTGTGTGCAGCTGCAAGAACTTTAATCGCGTTTCTGGTCAACATGAGTCAAGATGTGGTTTTCAAAACAGCCGATTGGTCCTTTAGATAGAAGACGAGCAGTCGAAGCCAAAGATGTTCAGTTTACAGACGCAAGAGGGACAAAGTTTACCACAATGATGCACAGTTTGTGTGTTATTATGTCAGATTTACACACGTGTGAGTGTGATTACATGTATCACTGCTTACAAACAGCTGATTGGTTGTCAACTATTTTTGATAATTGATCGGTTTAGCTCATTTTTAAAGAAAAATATTACAACTTCTGTGATTGCAGCTTCTTCAGTGTGAATGGTTTCTGGTTTCTTTCCTCCGTGACACTAAACTGAACATCTTTGGACCAAACAAGACATTTTATAGACCAATCCGTTCATCCGGAAAATAATTGGCAGAATAATCAGTATTTAAGGTTAAAACGTGACAGTTTTAGTTAAAGAAAAGGTCTAAATTCTGTGATTCCTGCTCCTTAAATGTGAATATTTTCTGGTTCCTTTCCTCTGTGAGAGTAAACTGGAAACCTCTGGACAAAACCAGACATTTTGGGAAACACTGATGCACATTTTTCACCATTTTAGAGACCAAACAATCGAGTAATCTAGAAAATAGTCAACTGGTTATTCAACGGTAGAACTAGCTGTTAGCGAAGCCCTGAATCAGAACGTCGAGGTTCAAAGTGAAGCTCCAGATCACGTCTGTGCTCCTGCCTGTTTACATCGTGTTCAGACAACACAACGTTCCTCATGTTACTGCTGAACATTCCCGTGCTTCAGCTTCCTCCGTCGATGCTGAGAATCCAAAACGTCGACGTCTCAAAGTGTGTCATGAACAGCGTTGGTCTGTCCACTGCCAAACATCTGCCGCCACGCTCCATTTCAGGACCAAACATTCAAATGTCATGTCCGAGCTGCCAACGTGATTCACAGCACAAGCCGGATGTTTGTTTTATACGTACATGTGTCACGATATGTAAGAAAATCCAAGTGATGGTCGAAGCAATGAACTGCTCCTGTGGGATTCCTGCATGAGACCAAACTTTTTAACGTTTTATTGTAGTTTCAGGAGGAATAATTTGGATGAAAACTGCAATTTACGGCTGAGAAACTGTGTGATGACTGTTTTATATGATCCGAACTGAAGCGTTTTGTTCTCCTGAGGCCATCCGAATAGATTTTGCTCGTCTATCCTCTCTGTGCCAAACCGTCTCCCTCGTGTTTTCATTACTGCACAGCGACGATGTGGATCCTCCTTTTTCTTCTGCTGCTTTCAGCCTATTTATTTGTCTGTCTTTGTTCTGCGCCGACTCCTACGTGTTCAACACATATCAGCATCTCTTCACCGCTCGCTGTCACTTTAATGAGATTATCTGTGAATAATTAGTTTATTAACTTGTCAGCTGATAGAAAAAGGCTTTTGTCCATCACATTTTTCACTTGTCAGGATATCACTGGCTCTTCAAACACACCTGCTCAGCTACCTGTAAACCACAGCCTTTGTGTTTCTGTTGCTCATGATGTTTACCTGAAATCTGTTCCACAATTAAATCTCCTTATTTCCAGTCAAAGACATGAGTTCACTGCCTGACGCGTTTCCTTCTGTGTGAGTCGAGCGTGCAAACTGCAGATGAATGGTGACTGTCGCCGTGGAAACAACGGGTTAAACCCTACAAGGAAGTACCTGTGTGGTCATTTACCACAGAGGGGTTGAAGTCCTCGAGCAGAGACGAGACGGGGAAGTGAGTCCTGGAGCGTTTCCACAAGAGCTCCTGTTTGGTTTTTATTCAGTTTGTTGTAAAGAGTTAAAGCTGCTTCGGAGACATGGAGCCGCAGACACCATACTCAGGTAAGATGTCTCAACTATGATCCCGTTTAATCAGGGATGAGTTTCATATGATTCATAACCGCGTATAATTGTGATTTCTGGTCATTTATTATTTCACAAGCAGGTTTCTTGTGGCTGGAAATGACGTAAACAAGAGACTAAATTCAGTCAGATATCATGTTAAAGGTGTTAATGATGGAGTTTGACTATTTTTACTAAAATGTCAAGTCAAAGATGATCCACATCTGTTGAAATTGGTGTGAATGTTTGAGCAAATGCAGCTTCTATCTCATTCTGAAGGTTCCCACCATGTTCTGATCCACGACAAAGGTAGAACAGCTGGTGCAGTAGGTCTCTAGTCAGTTACTAGTTCCGAAAAAGAACCAAAATTATTCCTCCTCATGTTAAATATAGATGTAGAGTGATTTATTATTGAACCAGCTGATTTCTTGTGGCTGGAAATGACGCAAACAAGAGACTAAAGAGCCAGACATCATGTTAGAGGTGTTAATGATGGAGTTTGACTATTTATTTGGTTGTTTTAAAAAAAATATCAAGTCGAAAATGATCCACGTCTGTTAAAATTGGTGTGAATGTTTGAGCAAATGCAGCTTCTATCTCATTCTGAAGGTTCCCACCATGTTCTGATCCACGATAAAGGTAGAACAGCTGGTGCAGTAGGTCTCTAGTCAGTTACTAGTTCTGAAAAAGAACCAGAATCTATTCCTCCTCATGCTAAATATAGATTTATAGTGATTTATTATTTCTCCAGCTGGTTTCTTCTGGCTGGAAATGACTCAAACTCAGTAAAACATGGAGTTAGAGATGTTTATTATCAATTTGAATTATTTCTGTGCATTTTTACGTCTTTGCTAAAAGTCTAAAATGATTCTTCAGAGTCTTTTTTTTCCTCCACATCAGTCCAACACTTCTGCATTTTCAAGGGATTTACATAGTTTTGGGCAGCAAAAGGTAAAAAAAATTACACAGTTAAATAGTTTGAAGTTTCTAATGATCATCTCTAAAGTTGTTCTACTGGGTTCTGTAGAAAGAAGAAACCTGCTGCTCCAATAGAAATCTGCTACACATCCAACATTGACATGAACAGTGTAGTATTTAACTGTGATGCTGTTCGTGTGGATTCTTCTTCTCGTCGTTTTATTTTCTGTCCTCTCAGGTCGCGGTTACCCCGGCAACCAGCAGTCGCTCAGGTCCCGACAGGTGTCATCACGAGCGTCCAATCACAACTATCCTCGCTTCAGCCGGGACTCGAGTCCTGCGCAGGAGGACCAAGTGGACGGCAGCGAAAAGCCGCAAGATATCCGGGCCATGGCTCTGCCGATGGGCCTGAGGAGAGCTGTTCGGTACGAAGCCGGTTCTGTGGGTTTAGGTGGTGTTTCCGTAGTAA